GCATGAGGTCTTGGTGCATGCTCACCAGCGTCTTGTAACGTGCAATCACCTCATGGATCTCTTCAAACTGAGGGGCCAATGGGCTTGGGTCACTGAATAGCTGGCTCCCAAGGGCCTGATGCAGCCATCTCAAGCCCACCACCTCTGACCTGAACACCTGAACACCAGGGCTGGCAAACCACAGCCATATATGGATATTGTGACAATGTCGGGTTCTCTGGGTTTGTATGGGCTATGCCCCTTATGTTTGAGGGTTCCTCACCTGGACCTGAGGTCTCTAATACCAGCTGCATATTAGAAGCATCTAGGGTCCCTGAAGCAAGATAGCTGCCAAGCACCAACCCCAGAGGGTCAGATCAATAGCATGTCTATGGTAGATTAGAATTTTGCAAACTATCTCTAGGTAATTCCAGGCCCAAGTAGGGTTGAGAATCGCTGAGGGGAAGCACTTTATCTCTTAAGGCAACAATGATCCTATTGAACTAGAATGTTCCAAGAGCCATGCACAGACCAGGAGCTGTGCTAAAAGGCTACTGACAGAGCAGGAGATAAGAAAGCCAGACCCCCATTCTTTGAACTTTATAGCCTCCAGGGTGGTTGGGTACAAGGAGGACAGACAGACAACTCGTCAGTGTAAACCATCTTTGGGACTGAGGGGTGGGGCTGCACAGAGCCCAGACACTCACTCCCTTTGATCATCATCTGCATCACAAGTGGGGCTGGAGGGGGTTAGCCAGTGGGGCAGGGGGTTTGCAAGATCCAGATCACCTGTTCCAACGGGGCCCAGAAGCACAGAGTTTGCCCAGCAAGCATCTCTACAGAGGGCAATGTGACCTCCAGTTCCATAACACCAATGCACCTCCCCGGGGGCTATCATAGTGTGCTCAGAGACTCTCTGAGCATGCACCCTTATCATGACAGTCGTCAGTGACAGGTTGGTGTCTAGGAACTGTCAGGCTGGTGTTTTCTCCGAATGCGCTTCAGGGGGAAAGCCACTCCAGGCAGTGTTGGAGGAGTTGGGAACAGCCAGAAAAGTATTCAGGGGAGAGAGGAAGGCTGAATAAGAAGCAGCCGAGCAAAGGCAGGTGGGAGATGCAAGGTGTGTCACAGATAGAGGGAGAAACCTGAGTAGAGATGAGTGGAGGCTTAGGGACATGTTCAGAATACTCACAGCAAGTTAACACAAATGGCCTGAGCTTCAGAGATGGAGGGAAGGAGATGGAAGCCGTGGGAAGGAGGTAGGGCTGCCCAACAGTTTCTTGGGAGACTGAGACCAGAGGATTGCACGTTCAAGGCCTGCCTGGGCTATCCAGTGAATCTGAGGCCAGTCTGGATAGCTTAGTGAGACCCTGTGTCAAACTAAAATAAGGGCTTGGGGGTGTAGCTCAGTGGTAGAGTGCTTCCCTAGCATGTACAAGGCCCGGGGTTCAGTTGCCAGCAACACATGTGAGTGCATGTGACTGCACATGCTTACCCCCCCCCCACACACACAGATAGAGACAGACAGACCAAGACAGAGCACTCCAGAAAACTAGGAAAAGAGTATGAACTTTATCCATGAAGAATTTTCGTTTTAAGAAGAGGGAGCCCACGTCCTGTATGCATTTCCTACAGTTCCTTCAGCAAACACCACAAGCCATATGGAAGTTAGAATGAATGGATTTAATCAGAGCTACCAGGAAGAAATCTTGCAATTGTATTCTGATGTCAAGAGCCTCAGGTGTCTCAGCTTAAAGGAGCCCGTGCTTGTCCAAGGAGGGCACAATTTGAACATCAATAAGAATAAATACAAATGGTTGAAACATGGATTAAAATCCATGAGTTCATAATGACACTGAAGGGTCAGTTTTGGAGGCTGCTGACATTTTAATTTGTTATTCTGAACACTATAAAGAATCAAGAGTTTGATGAGGGCATGGCAGTCCCAAGCACTAGGAGACACAGAGAAGATCTTGAATTTGAGGCTAGCCTGGAGTGAGAGAGTGAAACACTGACTCAAAAAGAAAAGAGTTTAACAAGCTTCTTCCTAAGCCCCACAGTTATCAAAGAGCCAAAGACATTCTTTACAAAGTCTGGATCTTTATGTCTCAACATGTGGGTCACAGCCCCTTGGGAGTCAAATGACCCTTTCACAGGGGTACATATCAGATATCCTGCATATCAGGTATTTACATTATGATTGATACAATAGCAAAACTACAGTTACGAAGTAGCAACGAAATAATTTTATGGTTGGGGTCACCACAGCATGAGGAACTGTAGTAAAGGGTCGCAGCATTAGGAAGGTTGAGAACCACAGCTTTATGTACTGTTCTGAATACTAAATTTAAAGATAGTTTATGCCCCCTCAGTCAGTATCTGTCCCCAGCCACTGAGGAAACCAATGAAATAATTTTTGTCAGCAAAGACTAGTTTTACCTGGTTTCAAGCCTATCACTAGAACCATAGATATGCTCTCTTTTGAGTCTGGCCTTATTTTGCTTAGTATAATGTCCACAATACTTAAGAAATGTAAGAAGGAATATGGAAAAACTAGTTTGGACCCTGATTAAAACAAAGTGCAGCAAGACAATTATAGATATGGCAACGTTGATGGGGAAAACCCATGAGAACCACAGGCAAATAAGGAATGCTGAGAATGGGAGAAATAGTCTTCCCAGAGAAGAGCTCACCCATTAGTTATCCTGTGCAAGTAGCATTATATAGACAGAGCAGAACTGCACACACACACACACACACACACACACACACACACGTACATATATATGCAATTAATGCAATTAATGAAAAGAAAAGGTCATGAATTTGACAGCAAGCAAGGAGGGCAATATGGGAGGATTTGGAAGGAGGAAAGGGAAAAGGGAAATAATGCAATTATATTATAATCTCAAAAATAAACAAACAATCCAGGCAGTGTTGGTGCATGCCTTTAATCCCAGCACTGGGGAGGCAGAGGCAGGCAGATCTTTGTGAGTTCGAGGCCAGCCTGGTCTATAGAGTGAGTTCCAGGACAGCCAGGGCTACACAGAGAAGCCCTGTCTCAAAAACAAACAAACAACCCACAAACAAGTGCACATAGAGCCTTATTGCATCAATTTGGGATACTTTTAAATATCAACTAGCTATATATTTGCTACTAATGAATAACATAACTCGTTTGACAATGGCACTGTAGACATGATTTTTTTTGGTGTATTTTTAAATTTTTATTTTTCACTTTATGTGTATGAGTGTTTTGCCTGAATGCATGTCTGTCAGTCTGCATACTGCATGCATGTAGTGTCTGAGGAGGCCAGAGGAGAGCATAAGATCCCCTGGCTACAGACAGTTGTGAGCCACCAATTGGGTGCTGGAAATCAAATCCAGGTCCTCTGGAAGAGCAGCCAGGGCTCTTAACTGCTGACCCATCTCTCCAGCCTTCTTTTTTTTTTTTTGAGGCAGCCTCGCTATGTAGCCTTGGCTGACCTGGAGCTTGCTATGTAGACCACACTAGACTCAAGCTCCCAGAGATGCCCCTGCTTCTGCTTCCCCTAGTGCTGGGAGCATGCACCACCATGCCTGGCTCTGTGTGCTTGTCTCTGAGGTTATGTTTTTTGTTTGTTTGTTTGTTTAAAGCTCTCATCTTAACAAGAGCATTCAAGTTCAATGGTCTCTCAGGGTCCAGGCTAGGGGCTAGACAGCAGTCCGGTAGGGCTTTTCTAAAAGGAGTCTGAAGGTGAGAGGGAAACAAACCGGCTCACACATGCATTCCTTTCATGACTCTTTATTCTTCAAGAAACTGTTCTTCCTGAAAACTTTTCTCTCAAAATCTCTCTTTAAGATTTCTCTCTAAAAGTTCCCTCCTCAAAAGTTCTTTCTCTAAAAGATCTCTTTAAAAATTTTCTAAAGTTTATCTAAAAGTTCTCCTGAGGTCTCTTTTGTCCCACAAGGCTTCTAGCTTTTATACCCACAGGCACATTTAACAGCTCTCTGACAAGAGGGCATGCATATCCTTCAGTGCCAGGAAGGCAGGTAAGATTTTTTTTGGTTGATAGAACTCTTTTATTTTTTATTATTTTTAATTATTCATATTTACATATCCATCCCCCATTCCCTCACCCTCCCCTTCTCCCATATTCCCCATCCAACCCACCCCAACCTTCCTCCCTGACTCCTCTCCAGGCATAGTGA